TTATTGGTAAAAATAAATTACAATGTGAAGCTTAGTTGCACAAGATTGTTAAAAGCAAGCTGCATTGTGGGAACGCACAATTTATCACGTTTTTTTTAAACCTAACTTCACTTATTATTTAAAACAGGCATTCAGAATTGTACTGCAGCTTAAATGACATCTTTCTTCAAGAGTTGTGTTGGTGTTTGCAACTACCAGTTGGCACCCTGAAAATGAAACATATTTTGGGAAAACAAAGCCTACATTTTAATTAGTAAAACAAACTTCTGTTCGCTCAAGTCCGTGGGAGACATTCAGATTGGTTGGGAGGAAAGTATGCTAAAGCCTAATAAGGTAGAACAGTGGTAATCATGATGAATTTTTATTTCAAGTTGCGCTTATTGCCATATGGGGGCACATGAAATCAGTGTTTATACTGTACCAATGTATTGTAAGAAGCTATTTCTTTGTCACTGCTGTGTCCCATATTGTTGTCTTATAGAGTATAACTAGATGTGGCAAAGGTTTCGAATGAAACAAAGGGGGACATGCAAAGTGTGCAAAGTTGGTGTGCCTGCAAGAGTCATAGCTATGGACACAGTGCAATACAAGCACAGGGGAGGTTTTTACAATAATTTGATTGATATGTGGGGTTTAACGTCCCAAAACCGTGTCATGGTTATGAGAGACGCTGTAGTAGAAGGGTCCGGAAATTTCTACCACCTTGGGTTCTGTAACGTGCACCCAAATCTTTGCCTCCATCGGAAATGCAGCCGCCGCAGCCGGGATTCGATCCCGCGACCTACGGGTCAGAAGCAGAGTACCTTAGCCATTAGACAACCGCAGCGCGGCATGTTTTTACAATGACACACCGAACAAAGAGAAGAATGTGTATGCAGAGCTTTGTTTAAAAAATATATTTTGGAGAAACATATCTGCTGGAATGAATGCTTCAATGGGATGCTTTGGTAGCGTGTCCCTAAAGATGTCCATGCAGACCCGATAATTTTTCCTGTTTGGACAATAAGATTGTATAGGTCAATTCAGCAATGGAAATAATAATGGCAGGTTGGTGTCTCTCCTGGCTACTGCAGCACAGTAGCTTCTCTCAGCAGGAACCAAACTCGCCTGAAAAATGCCGCCACCAGTCAACAGGTGTGCAACGTCTTGCACAAAATGCATTGTTTCTTCTCTTGTGCAGTTCCCTGGCATTTTAAACATGATATTACGGAACAGGTGGCAAAAAACAAGCTTCAAAAAAGCAGGAGCAGCTAAACCAAATAACACTCAACTCATGGAATCTAAGGAAGGTCCCAGCTATAAGCTTAGTGGTTTTTAAAGTACCCACAGTTTCCAATTATGTATACGACACATTTGGAAAACTCGTTTTTCTCAGAACTTTATTTTTTATTTTACGAAACTTTATTACTTCTAAATGATCCATAATTTTTCAATAAAACTTCCCATGCTTCTTCATGGAAAATAATTCTATGCAATGAACTAGAATAAATGAAAAATGCTGACAACTGTTGATGTTATATAAAGTTTCGACCGAAATGCAACCATCTGAAACTACAGAATTTTGGGTTTTTCGCCAATAGTATGCTTAATATTGATGACAGTGCAAAGATTCTAGTTCATTGCACAGCTTTATTCTACAGCTACATTGTTGTCAAATAATCTTTGTTTTGTATAAAAAAAAAGGTACTTATCGCCACGTGATGGGTTTATGTTTTGAGTAATTCCTGTAATTCAATTGATTAGTTGAACTTTTCTTGCTCAACATACCTGAAGTATGTTTTTAAACAACCATTTTTTAGGTAAACGGAAAACAATCAGTTTAGGGTCACAATCTAAAGAGCTTTTCTAAAAGGTGACAGTATAGTTCGACTTGTGGCAAGTCTTTATTGTGGACAAACTGGGCACCAGGGGACATGAGCTAAATTTAAACAAAGAAAACAAATTTACACATTTGCTTGTGCAGTGCAAGGACTGCAAATGTGATAATGTGAGGATCCCGCGTAGGCGCAATAAACAAACGGCTCGTGGATCTTTGGAAGCGTCATTTGGGCGAATTGTGCATTAGCGAACAGCCATTACAATTTTACTTCTCGGAAATTAGATTTCTCCAGCGTCGGTTGCGCTGTTAGCTAGTTTATGGCTTTAGGCACATGCATTAAGTTTTCCATGTAGATTCTTGGCGTCATGAAACAAATTCAGTTGGAAGTGCCACTCATGTTGACTTCCTCGTCTTCCTTTTGGATGAATGCTTTTTTTTTATTGGCAAACTATGCAGTTACAATTGCTTTAACTTGGTAAAAAATCTCCACAATTTAGGTGATTTGATTATTGCCTCACATAGTCAACAATCCCCAATGTAGGCCTTCAAGCAAAGTGACTTTAAAGATGTGTTAATATACCAAAGGATTTGTGACGATGTGCCCTTATGCACATAATAGGTCACTGTTCCTACTTGTACGATATAACTATGTATAGAAAAATACAGCTGGAAGCTTTGCTCGTAGATGTAGACTTTATCCTCATGCCAGGCCACCAATACTTTCACAAGGGAAAGAAAAATATCTTTAGGCAAATTGATTATTGACTAGGGACGTAGCACCATTACTTTAACATAGTCAATAATTGCCAATGCGGACCTTCAAGCAAACTTACTCTTGAAAGGTGTTATGTCCCTTTACATCAGATTTTCGCCTAAGCACAAGTTTGCCTTCACAGCTTTTAGGCTTCTTCCGCTTTTTACAGCATGCTCTTCTCACTATACCTTCTTATGTCGGCTACCTTATGTGTATTGATTAACTTTGAAAGCTCCACCAGCTCTATTTTGTCAGTTGCATTTGAGGCTTGCATGGTTTCTCATCTTTTAATGAGATTTTTCATCTCCTAAGATAGTTTGCCATTGTCCTGTCTAATGATTGTACCTTCGACATTACTGCACACTCTTGATGATACTAGTAAGAATATCAGTCATTTTGTAAACTGCCCCTAAAATCTGTTACCTCGTTTAGAGCCACTGAAGAAAAAATTTTTTCCTCTCAATGCTACCTTCGATTCTAGCGTATCACTTTCTGCTGTTGCTTTTTTTAGGCCTAGGTGAACTTGAGCTCTTGCTATTCTATGGTCACTACATAGGATGTTACCAACTACTTGTACATCCTTTACAATGCTCGAGTGTGCACACAGAATAAGTCTACTTCATTTTTAGTTTCCCTTTTGGGCTCTGCCACGTCCCTTTTCGGTTAGCCCGTTTTTTGTGGAAGGTATTCAAGATCCGTAAATTATTACGTTCTGCGAACTCAGCTTATAACTTCCCTCTGGGCATGCTCTTTGGCCTGTTTCTTGCCTACTTTGGCATTGAAGTTGCCCATGAAAATAGTAACTGTGTTTACTTTATTAATTGTCGAGTACGTAGATAATTGTAGAGCATTCAGCTAAAATGATCATCATGAATATTTACGATAGCTGGCACCATCTCAGTAATGCTATTTTTTTTGTTGCCAGCGATATTTTTTTTGATAAAGAACCCCAGCCCTAGTTCTTTTCTGTAAATAAATCAACAGTAGTGTCAGTTCTTCAGCACTGTACAAGCTTCATATGTCCTTTTAAGTTCGCTGAGCCCCTATTACATCCCAATTTACCCCCCCCCCCCCCCCCCCACCGGATTCCTTGAATAGCAGAGCTATCACTAGATAGAGTTCTAGCATTGAACGTAGCCAAGTTCACATTCCAATTGTCACTGTTCCTACTTGTAGCACCTGATAAAACTGTGTAGCATAATACAGCTAAAAGCTTCACTCTTAGATGGAGACCGTCGTGGTGCCAGGCCTCACGGGTAGTGCCACTACGAAGCACAACTTCATCGAAATTGCACTGACATATGTGATGTTAGCTTGGTTAAAGGCCGCACCCCCACGATACTGGCATTTGTGGCAAATTGAGAAAAAAAAATTAGCACTACATAGGCGGCAACGCCGTGGATTACTTTGCAAGGGTTCGTAGCTGTCCTTGAAACCCTTGAATGTGTTAATGGCATTTTCAATGCATTGAAAACGCTTAAACTTGTGAAGTTCATTCAGCCATAATCTAGTGGATTATTTTGCGTGCTTGTACTATGTGCTCTCTAGCCAACAAACCATGTAATGCAATTCATTTCTCTAGCCATATTGCAGTGTTGTTGTAGTGTACTCTAGTACACTGTAGTTGTAATGCTTGCGTGGTTACAGAAGCACCGATAGAGCCAAGTCTGGATTTATTTGTGGAGATTGTGCAAGTGTGCTTGCATAATCTTAGCCACGCCTGCCAGAGTTGACTTACTCTCAACACCGATGCCCTACACACCGTGCCTGACGAGTCGGGCCGGCCAGCGCCAGCCGATAAACGTCATTACCCGGGGATTATGGTACCACTTCCTCACATCGTCCGCTGTGTGGATCATGGCTGCAGAGCACAAAATGTGCGCTCACGAGGCAAGGAAGCATAAGAATTTTCGTACCGAGCATGTGTAACTAAAAGCACAATGTGGCCAGCGTCACTAGCAGCATTGCTACATTTAGCAAATGCGTTTTTATTTGAAATTATTTTAATGGTTTGTTAGTCACATACTTACTTAATAGTGCTTTTTTGTAAAAACTGCATAACAAGGATTCACAAAAAAATCAATAGAGATGAAACGAATGCTTTTCCGAAAATCGAACAGCGCCAGCCGAGCCCCCTCGCGGCAACTGTTGCAACCTTGTCATTGCCGTGTGACACTGTCACAACTCCTTCTCCGTTGAACCCCCTAGGGGAAATTTACGTTGACGGTGTTCAACATAGTTTGGTGGTGGCCGTATGACAGGGGTACGACATTCTGTCTATGGTACCATTTGGTAGAAACATTCCAAAGCACTTTACGGAGTGATAAAGTGAATATTCCTAGGTCTTCCAAACAGTAATGAGCATTTTTGCAGTGAACACTGGTATTTGGTTATGCTGAAGTTCATTCTATATAAATTCTTTTTCAGGCATATGGTTGAAAAATCAAGAGGTGTGCGAAATTTGATGTTGCTGTGGTCACACCTTCATTTCATGGGTTAGGTTCATCAAGAGACAAAAGGCCACTTTGATTGCATAACAGATTTTATGTAACTACAGTTCATGTACAAAATGTGTTCACTTGCAAGACTTGCGATTCAAGCTTGAATTACAGGTGCGAGTTCCAATAAAAAGCTTTTTTTTTATGAGATACAATAAAACTTGTTTTTTTTTAAGTGCATTTTTCGATGGGAAGGCCACTTTGGTTGCATAAAAGATTTGATATAACTATTTTATTTAACTATCTATTTAATTATTAGACTTGTGATTCAAGCTTGAATTACAGGTGCGTTCAAATTTGTGGGATACAATGAAACTTGTTTTCATTAAAAAAATGCAATGTAAAGCTTTGGCACAAGTTTTTCTAGAAAATAGTCGTCTTTTTGGCTGCAAGACGAAAAAAAAAGGTAACTGCACGCACACACACAGACAGACACACACACACACACACGCGCTGCTGTTGAAGTGCACAGGATGTCAGTTTTATCGGCACTAGCGTTAGTACACAGTTATAAGACTAGAAAGTGTCCACGGTGGCAGTATGAACAAATGTTTTTGACACTTCAACCCATGGCCAGTGGCAGAAGCAGCAGTACTTGGCAGGTTCTCAATCACAGGCATCTATGGGCCCTTTTGCTACAAGAGCTTGCCACCAACTCTTGTCTTCTCCACAGAAAAAAAAAAAAAAAAAATGTTGGTCAACAGCCATGAGCCATTTCTTCCACTACAGATGTCACACGGCAGATGAAGCATGAATTGCAGACGCGCACCGGCTTGTAGTAACCATAGCGAGGCAGTGTTATCGAATGGGAACTGCACCGAGAACAGAAAATCTGCACAGAAAATGCACAGAACACTCTCAGTTGCTCCACCAAGCAGCAAAGATGTATGAAAGTGCACTCCTCTTTCTATGCACATTTTGACCGACCTACCTTTCCACACCTTCGGCAGTGATGCCTGCGGCGCAGCAGTGTAAAGTTTGTATTACAATCCATGCAGTTGGATGTGAATTCATCTGGCATCCAGACTGGGCTACCTGCAACGTGAAAGGTGCACTGCAATCTTAGACCCGTCACATTGTAACTACCAAACCCTCATTACCTCTCTTCAGCGTTCAAATCCCTAATTACAAGAATAGACTTTCACATCACGTGCATGCTAGCAAAATTAGGGCGGGAAAGTACACCGTGCATGTGCGTCTCGCACGTGTTTAAGCTAAAATGAGGCGTTTTCGAGTGGCACTCTTTTATAAAACAGGAGAGCGGTCACGACACGTCATGTGCTAATGGCGGAACCAGTCTGAGTACCAGGCAACCAAACGTCTTCTTCACCGACTGAATCATACCCCCTGCCTTTCTGAGTAGCACTTATCTTCTTCACTACAAAGCAAACAATACGGCGCAACACTGGCCGATGGCGGCTTGGAGAGTGTTCGTGTTCTTAGTTTCAGTTTCTGTTTTGACTTTTTATGAGGTGCCTTGTGCAGCAGCGATACGTATCGTGTGTATATATGTGTAAATAAAAGAGTTCGTGACGAGCAGTAGGATGAGGCGGACGTTCTTTTCGGAGCTTTGCGCTCAGTCGTGTGGAGGCTTTCCAGCGTGCCCTCCAGCAGTGTTGGCAGGCTTTGGTCAACGCTTTGTTCTTATTCGTCGGTGCCGGGGCCGCCAAGACAACACAACAATGACGAGATAAATAAGAACCCCGTGCCTTTTGTTGGCCTCGCTCTTCCCTTTCTGTTGCAACACTACTTCGGCGTTTCCCACCTACGCTAGTTTTAGTTCTACCTAGCAGCCGCGTCTCATTATTCCTGCCTTCAACTGTGCGGACATTCTTCTGCGTTGGCGTTTCGGGTTCTCTTCATTCTTTTCATTAGTTGTGTCCAGTTTTTCATATCATTAATTCATATCATTTACGGTTAATTCATATAATTTACCTATTGGGATGTGTCTGCATTACTAACCTTAACAGATGTGGATGATATCACTTTCAAAAAGGCCATGTCTTGGTACAGTTATACAAAGCTTCACGTATATTCAATCATTTTAGCGACTATAGGCGGCGCAGCGGAAAGTCGAAATGGCGGACGAGACTGTGATGTCGCGGGCGTTTACGTCAGCATCGCAAAGCGTGAAGACGCATTCAATGGTTTATGACTACTGAGAGACCGAACTGCATGGCAGTTTTATCACCGTGTGACAGCTTCGGAGCATGGCTACATGGCGCCGCCTGCGTCGCTGGAATGACCGAATTGTTTTTGTATATGCTGTGTTAAATCTGGCATTTATTCCTTAATACATTCCAGAATCTATGTTCAGGAGCTAAAAATGGCTTAGTTGCCAGGACTTCACAAAAAATGTCGGCACGTTTCATGCTACACACAAATATGCTACGTCTATCAAGTGCCAGGGCCATAATGTCTTATGATGGTCTAGAAACAGGTAAAGTTTTATTATCTTCACATATCTGATCACTGCCATATTCCAATTATGAGTGAAGCAAGAAAATGCCATGTACATCTATCCACACATGCATAAATAATTTAAAAACAGCCCAATATAATTAAAACTGTGCTCCCATTTGGTTATGACCAGCGTAAGATAAACAGCCATATTGAATAGCACTACACAGAGTAAGGTTAAAAACAAATTTACTAGTAAAATAAATTACATCTGAATCAAAACTCATTCATAATTACACATTCTACAGTGAAAGAGGTAAATAGTTTCTTGTGAACCTAATGGACATCTTGACAGTTGCAATACAATATATGTACAAAAGCTTGGAAACAAACTCAAGCATAGCTTTCATATTTTATAATCTTGGACAGGTCAGCCAAGTTAGACCCATTCTTTCTCCTTTTTCAAAAATTTTACAGAATACTAGCAATTTTGAAAATCTGCCGTTATTTTTCAATACTTTGCACTGTTGGATGAAAGATGCAGGACCTGCAACTATACGCAATTCATAACTGCCTACAACACCATTGACGAATGTGACCATTGAAGAATGTGAAGAGACTTTCAATGCAACCAGTCTAAGAAGTCAATGCACAGTGATTTTAAAAGAACCCTTTTTAATGCTAAACTTGAAAGTTTGTTTAGTCAACTGCATGACTCATTTAAAAAAAATCAATAAGTATGCAAAATGAGCAATCTGCACCAACTTTGCATCAACATAAAGAGCACACTTGAACCTCGTTATAAGAAAACACAGATGTGCAACAAATAAATTAAGTGAGAGCAACCATGATATTCATTTTCTGTAACCAAAGTATTTGGTTAGTGCAAGGTTAAAAACTCGAAAGGTATCGCAAAGTATATTGTAAGACAATTCCACATTGCACTTTTTTTTTTATGTGGTTCTTGCATGCAGAATTTGGTTAGAAAGTTCAAGTTGTGAAAATTTTTTTTTTATTGCAATTGTACCTTCTCATATTTGGGTGTAATTTGAAATGCCACAAGGGCACAGGTAAGGTTACAGCGTTTATGGTGGGTTTGAAGCCTCGAATAATGTTTTCGTGCCTAGTATTCATGCATGAGCTCGATTGTAATTTGTTTAAGCAGAATTTACCGCTACTGTTTCAACAAATTTAGAACACAATGCAGTAATTTTTGGTCCCAACTACACTCTGTTACAACAAGGTCGGACTGCGAATAAGGTTCTCAATTCCTGCACACAGCGACAAACTTGCCTCTGGGTCCGGATTCTGAGGATAGTTCCACCGATAACTCATCAGGCAACACCTCCTCGGCACTGTCCACTGAACGGCGGCCAGAACTACCACGCTGTTCTTCTTCCTCCTCCAATTCCGCAGCATCGACAAATGAGAGTGAAAACACACTGCTCCGCTCCATAGGGCCCTGCCAAGCAAGCAATGCTCTATCATTATTCACCAGGGCATTTTAGAAAGGCAAACAAGTTTAGAGAAAAAAAAAAAAAAGAATGCTGGGATGTGAATATGAAACAACAGTATGAATCTTACATTTATCCTTAGAGGAACACAAGTGAGAAAAGTGTCCTTTTGCTGTACTCACTCGTGATGTGGAACAAGAGAGACCTTATTGTGCGGAATGCGCACAGCCGCAGCGAAAGCTGGAAACGCTCTTCGGGCAACAATGCAAGCTTTCTTGGGGCTACTAATACAAGTACGCTTGCAAGGTACCCACTATTACTTCATTAATTGAGTCGTTGGCTGATGATGATGAATTATGGCTGAGCCTTTTGTAGTAGAGTGTAAGCATTCAATGAGCCACTCGTTGTGAAATTCATATTGCGCCATGCCTGGTTACACAATTCGCATTCTGCAACTCCTGACAGTTGTTTTACTCTCGTACCACACAGTGGTAATCCAACTGTGCTTCACTTGCGCACATTCCAACTCAGCGGGCACCTAAGTTCACTAGTCCGCCTGTTCACATGGCATTGGCCCGTTTATGGCCCAAAACTATTGGTGGCAACAAACATAGCTAAAGCCTTTCCGTAATGCCAATGATGCACTCACTCCATTCCAGCGATGCACTTTTCCTCATTACTATATTCAGTTTAACCAAAGTCTCTACACCACCATGTGCATCTGTTAGCAAGCTGTTCTCTCTCATTGGTTAGAGAACTTGGGATAACATGTAGAAAAGTTATATTTTTCATGAGAAAGTCATTCTTCATACCGTATTGTAATCATTGCGGCCAAACGGCAACAGTTATCAGCCATGCATGCGTGCTGTAAATGGTGTCATCACGCAAATGAAGATTCTGCAGTGCGAAAATTTGATATTTTACAAAAAAATAAAATAAAAAAACATGCCTTTTCATGACGCTGCACAATGTTCTTGGGCATGCCCATTGTATAGATAAGCCCCAATGCCCTGAAGAGCGTGTCTGGCACGATGAGCATGGTGTGACTGCTGCTCACGTATGTCTAAACTCTCATCGCGCGTCATGATTGCAAAAGAGACGTGATACCATGGCAAGTTGGCGCTCATAGAGATTGAGCCACGCAATAAATCGACAAAAAAGCCAAAAGTCGTACTCGCTTCCAAATCTTTCCAACAGATTCCCTCCTGAGCTGGTGGAAAACTACGCTTGTGAGCATGCTCAGCACGACCACCGTTTGCAAATCAACATAGTATGACAGCTTAATTATGTCCAAACATTATCCCAAAACTGCAAATCAACGAAACAGACTGGCTCTGGTGGAATTAGTCCTCAGCACTTGCTGAACCTAAAACGTCCTTCGCGACCCAGTCTTACGATCCCCGTCAACGGCGGATTCAGGGGGTTTGGAATCGTTTCTTTCAACCGGGCCTCACATCGTGTGCACTTGCTAACATGTGCACTTACCGTCTC